GTATGTATGTATGTATGTATGCATGCATGCATGCATGCATGCATGCATGTATGTATGTATGTATGTATGTAGGTAGGTAGGTAGGTAGGTAGGTAGGTATGTATGTATGTATGCATGTATGTATGTATATGCATGTATGTATGTATGTATGTATGTATGTATGTATGTATGTATGTATGTATGTATGTATGTAATATATGTGGGTATGTGTGTATGTGTGTATGTATGTATGTCTGTATGTCTGTCTGTCTGTCTGTCTGTATGTATGTATGTATGTATGTGTGTATGTATATATTATCATTATACATTGTGTATATATATATGTATATATAAATATATATATATATATTAATGTATCCCTGGACCGAGGGGGGGGGGGGGGGGGGGCGCGACGTGCCATGGGGGTGTCGGGGCGCCAGGGACGCTTCCAGACCGCCAAAGACAGCCCCAACACAGATGAAAAGGGCCGCGAGAGGCCTCCAGGAGGCCTACTATGCGCTATGCGAGAGGCCTCCAGGAGGCCTACTATCGCGGAGTTATCGTTCTGACACGCCCAAGGTGGCTTTCGGATGGCCCGCACTCCCGAATCGGCCCCAAGAATCCAAATCACGGATTTTCCATTGGTTTTTTGCTGCATTTTAGCGGTTCAGCCTTTTGGCATCCCGACTCTCCAAGACGGCCCAAGAGGCTCCCAAGACTGCTCCACGATAGCCGAAGAGGCCTCCAAGAGGGCCCCAAGACGGCCCACGAGGCCCCAAGACGGTGCCTGAGGCGCCCAAGACGGCCCGAGAGGGCCCCAAGACGGTCCCAAGAGATGCCCAAGAATGGGAACGCGAACCCAACAGCAGAGTCTTCCGCCCTAAGAGGCCCAGAGAAGGCCCCAAGAGCCCCCAAGTGGTCCGACGAGGCCCCCATAAACCTCCCAAGTGGCCCCAAAAGGCTCCAAGGAGACGCACAAGGAGCCCCAAGATTGCCCAACAGTGCCCTGGATGCATCGAAACTGTCTGCAGGAGGCCCCTGGAAGGCTTCCGGACTGCCTCGGTGTGGCCCCGGGCGCCCCAAGTCGGGCCTCCACGCAGCCAAGACGGCCAATGACGGCTTCGGATTGCAGAACATCACCTTCCGACTGCCCGGAGAACCCCGACGATGCTCCCCAGGGATCCCAAGAAACCCCAAGACGCCCCCCCAAGAAGCATTCACGAGGTGCCTCCAACAGCAAATTGAGGAAGCACGGAGAACCCCCCAGAAGCCCTTCAGATGCCCCCACGAAGTCCCAAGAGGTCCCCAGGAGGCCCTCAGGAGGCACGACTATGTCACGCGCCTGTGCATGATAGCGCTGTCCAAGATCTTCCAGCGCCCCTCCGGCCTGGGCTAGAACTTGAACACGCGCGAAGCACGCGCGATGGTTCTAGTATATATGTTTGTATGTACGTATGTATGTATGTATGCACGTATGTATAGATATATGTCTGATTGTGTGGATGCCTGTATGGTTGCATGCATGCATGAATGTAGGTATGTATGTATGTGTGCATGCGTGTATACATCTATATGTATGCATGTATATACTGTCATTATTTGTATGTGTACGCGTATGTGTATGTATGTATGTATGTATGTATGTATGTATGTATGTATGTATGTATGTATGTATGTATGTATGTATGTAAATGTACGTATGTATACATGCATGTATGTATGTATGTATGTATGTATGTATATATGCATGCATGCATGCATGCATGCGTGCATGCATGTATGTATGTATGTAGGTATGTATATATGTATGTATGTATGCATGTATGTATGTGTGCATGTATACATGTATGCATGTATGTATGTATGTATGTGTGTATATATGTAAGTATTTATAGGTACGTATGTGTGTATGTGTGTATGTGTATATGTGTGCATGCATGTAGGTTCTTATGTATGTACACATGCATGCATGTGTGCATGTGTGTATGCATGCATGCGTACATGTATGTATATAATATGTAGTTTGTATGTATGTGTGTATGCATGAGTATATGTGTATGCATTTTCATAAGCTACTAGATATTTAGTTGTATGCATGCACGTCTGTATGCATGTGTATTTGTGTATGCATGTACGTATGTATGTGTGTATGTGTGTACGTGTGTATCTGTGTATGTGTGTATGTGGATGTGTGTATGTGTGTATGTGTATGTGTGTATGTGTGTATGTGTGCATGTGTGTATGTGTGTATGTATGTATGTGTGTATGCATGTATGCACGTACGTACGTACGTGCGTACGCACGCACGTACTGGTGAGAGAAAAGTAAGCAACACTCCGACCTCCCTCCGCAATTCAAAGTTGGCAGGTATACGCATCACTGTTCCGACACTCAAACTCGGGAGATCCAAGCCCAACATGTCATTCGGGGGGAGGGGTGGCGGAGGTCACACCATATGGTATGCGTGAGTGTTGCTGAATTGAATCCGACACCTGCATGCATGTACGCGTGCATTCACGTA